TGTGCTGTAACAGACACTATTTCTACTTCGATGACGATGACTTGAAGTTTTGAAAATTATAATTAAAGCAGAAACCTAATTGTTCTTTTCCCTTTAGTGACACTCAGAAATGAATAGAAATAAGACCTTAGTAACATTCTGACTCACCTGATTGCCGTCCTCTTAAATCCCGGTCAGAGCCGTACGTCTATTTCCAACTGAATTGCAGACGTGGAAGCAAGCTTCCTCCTGCTGCGAGAAGTCGTTCTTGTCCTTTTAAAAAATTTGTGTTGGTTTCACTTTTGCTTTCTAGACCCTGCACCGCCCAGAGGGAATTTCCAGGTTTTAGCTTCATTTACTCTAAACAAAATGACTTATTGCACATGCTGACCGCACAACTTCAACGATTGGTCGTTGTGACATTCCCTGGTGACGATTGGTACCTGTGTGCTGTTTTCCATAGCAATGTAGAGAATTGCATCATTTTATAAAATGTATACTTATACATTTGTACATCAAGAGGGGGCTTTGCAGCTAGACTACTGCATGTGATTGTGATTTCCCAGTTCAAGAACCGGAGGTCCAGCTTTCATTTTTAGAACATGCTGGCTTCCAATGGTCAACAGTCATTTTGTGATGGTGGCAAAGCGTCATTTCAAGCACAGTTTCCAAGTTTCTGTCAGAAGGTTAGAGGTCCAAATGAGTCGATCATAAACCAACCATGATTCTCAATTAAGTAATAGCAAATGGATGCGACACTTTTAGATGGCAACACGTGAACTTTCAGTCCTTGGATTGTTTTTTCTTTTCTTTTACAGCTGAATTATACAGGTGAACTTGTCACGCTATGTGGAAAAAGTAATAAAATTGTTTATTATGATCCTATTTTTACTTCACAAGACCCAGTCGTTTTAATAAGTCTATGTACACACCTGCACACGCACTCTTTTAAGTAGTTTTTAAATGTTGACCAGTAACTTTTATTTCATCTAAGATTTTCCCTCAGTGTGCAGCAGAAATCAATTTGGACAATTTCAAGACAGCTCAACTCTAATAAAAGTTTTTTTTTAATCCAAAACTTTTGTATTTTTATTTTCTAAATGTTACGAATAAAATTAGTCAAAATTTAAACAACTAAAATACCTCAAACGTGTACATTTGAAGCCGAGTGCTTGGAGGGACAATTAAAGTGAGGAAAGAGTGTAACATTAGATGACTTCTTTTTTGGGTTGAAGTCACGCTATACTGACAAGTTAAAACACATTTGTAACTCCGGCTGAGCTGGATGACTATTGGCCTCACTTAACCCTAAAGCATGCTTTCGGTTTTGCTTGCCAAGACCGATTCTCCAGCCACACTTAGAAAAACCCCACTGCGTTTTGTTTGTCAAGTGTCTTCGACATGTGCTATGTGATTGTTATCTTAAACAAGCTTGTTATTTTGGAGACGGCTAAAACGAAATACTCTGCCAAACAATATTGCTTGATTTATTCTGTTTCACTGTTGTTGGGACTTTTAGTTTGTCACCGAGCTAAAACTGTAGGCTTTTCCTCTGACGCAATCAGAGCATCTATAACCATAAAATGACCCAAAGTGGGGGTCAAATTAGACGAACCACAAGCTCGAAGTATTGTTTTGTCTTTGAAGACTGACCACCAGCCTGACTGGAACGGGAACATCCAGAGCGGATGCTGCATGACCAAAGAAATGACGTCATCTGCCAGGATAAACTACCCCATTTGGTCACACGATGTAATGTAACAATCACCAAGGGAAGTGGAACTAAAATTCACCTCAGTTTTATTTCATTTTGGATTTTGCCAACGCACACAAAGAGTATGTAGTTCTCTTTCTCTTCTGTGAAAGTAGTCCATTGGAAGGAATCGTGGTGAACCGGCAGCTGGGTCACTGACGTGTGCTCAGATCCAAAACTCCCTAAATTTACAGAAGAACTGAATGTTGGTTCTGACAGAAAGGTGTTGGGTTGCATGCTGTTTTACGGCTTTCATGGTTTCTTATTGATGAGTCCGCACAGTTTCAGACCAGTTTGGGTCCCGATGTTAACCACTACCTAAAAGACCAACAATGGGCGGGTGAACATCAGAACCGGGCTGTGGCGCAATGCAATAGGGTGTGGACACCTGGGTGAATCTGTGTTTCTTTCCATAGGAAAACACTTTACAGCAAGATGTGAAGGAGGTAAACAGATGGAAGCAGTCGTATGCTTTAGCCAAAGTTCTACTGGGACGCTTTGGGTCACCAGGTGCAACCAGCCTGAACACCAAAACTCGTTATGTCCGATCAGCGAATCTTCAGAGCACTAACATTAAACCCGAGCAAAGGTCAAATTATGGTCTTAATTGTTTAAAGTGAATGAAATTAAATGAAACTTTATTCCGAACATGATGGTATAGTATAAAATCATGTGCAAGAACAAGGAATGCAAAAGACATATTTTTGTACCACAATAATCTTAACATGTTCAAAAAGAAGTAGAAAGATGTAAGATACTTATGAACTCCTACCCCACAAACTCATAAAATATTTTCAAGTGAGCCCTCATTAATAATCCAATCAAAAATAAAAATAAACAGGTTCATTCATTTTCCGTTTTATCTGGGTTTACATATGTCCAAGTATATAGATTCATACTCACACACTCATGTGCGTTAGCCTCAATTTACATAAACACATTAGTGCTAACTCCCACCCATATTTCTGTCTTGTGAAAAAGATCTTATAAATTACTTAACATTTGAAAGAAACAATAACTTAATTTAAAACACTTTTAATTGGTGGCGATCAGGATTGATGAATCATCAAAAAAGTGAAAGAACAATGACTTGACAATTGCAGCACCATGCAACGCCTGTGCGACTCCGAACGTAGACTTCCTGGAATTTTTGTTGTTCTTCTTCTGGTGTTTTTTCACATGACATAAAATCACCAGAAAAAGGCAGACATCTCACCACGTCCTGGCAAATCAGTTTTTCCCCCAGACAGGAATAAGTGGTTTTAACATGGGGTTTAGTTCTGTGTTTTTGACAGTTTGCTTACTTGATCAGCCAAAAGTGGAAAATTGTTTGTTGCTTTTCTTAGAGCCCCTTATTTCAAAATTAGGACTGCAGAATACATAACCAGGCGTCAGCAAATAGCGACTCAAATCTTTGACTTTGCAAAGAATCAAAACGTCTCCATCTACAGCAGTAAAGCAATGAAAATGAACACAGTGCCACCTTTTGGACATTGTCAGTACATCTATTTTGCACAATTGGAAATGTCAATTAGTTTGTCCTGGAACAATGATTCAGTGATCCTTTACCCAAATACCATATGAGACACTTGGGCTGCCATTAGTGGTACCTCCAGCCAATATTTGTCTTAATTGTTAGCAAGAAAAATGAATAACTGTGGTGATTAACACCAACAGCTAAAACAATGTTTTTCTTCAAACAAATTAAACTTTGCTGTAAGTAGAAACTGATGGGGGACGAAAAAAAAAAAGTTGAGAAAATGTCAACTCCCATAATCTTAAAACACGTTTTTTTTCTTCAATAATTGAAACCACAGTGTGTATGCACGTGTGTATAATGACAAAAGATTATAACTAAAAACCAGTCAACAACAGGAAACCATCATAGCGTTCATCCGAATGACAATAAACAGATGATGGCATCTTAAAAAAACAGGACGACTAGATATGTAGTCTGTGTGTCACATAAATGTCTCCTTTTGCAAAAAAGAAATCAGTCTTTTCTGGTCAGACTATGATATTGATCTTAATTGATCAACCATTTATGCATGCTCATGGTGTAACATTGAAAGTAAATATGTTCTTTTTACTGTGACTATCACAAAGTTTTCTTTGTAAAGGCAGGCATACTGGATATTGAGGTCAAAGTTGATGAAAATCTTTTTTTGTTTGTTTTGTTTTACACTCCGAACTCTTGTGAACCTTCTTGGAATGTTGTTTCATTGTTTAATAAAAAAAAAAAAAAAAAAAACGTCGAGAAGGTGGTGTCTGGAAAACGTGATACTTACAGAGGCGTTGCTTGCTATTTAAGGAGTTTGTGAACTACTAAATACCAAATTATTTCTGGCAAAAGGTTTCAGACACGTTTCTCCATCTTCTGCCAGATGTTTCCGGTCGTTTGAGCGGCTCAGAGATGACCGGAAAGAAAAGCAAAACGTCTCTCTTGACGGAGAGCTGGGGGCATCTCCTGCATCGTTGCCATTCAGCGCAACTTCACGAGCTTCTAAAAGTTTGGGAGGAACCGTGAGAACTAAAACCATTCGAGCAATGACCTCGTGTGTCAGGATGACACACCGGACCACTCCACCCGGTTCGGCGGGGGGGGAGGACGACCGGTCTGTCCGCTTCGAGGCGAGCGTGCTTCGGATGAAAGGCAAACAGAAGCGGACCGCAGTCAAACCGGAAACAACCCAAATCTGTATTTCAAAATAATGCAACATCTATGAGAATACCTTTTTTTTTTACCCTTTTATTTTTTTTAACCCTTAAAAAGTAATTTGTTTAATTTCCCTAAATACTTTTCATTAGCACATTTGGGGCCTCACTTGTAAGTGAAAGTGCTGCCTTAAACTTATTCGTATTACCTTAACAAATGCTTTTGCATTCATAATTTTTGCTGGACCAGACAACAGGAGGGTCCCAGATATAGAATTATTATTATTATTATTATTATTATTATTATTATTATTATTATTATTATTATTATTATTATTATTATTATTATTATAAGTGTACATTTTGTTTACTACTGTTTTTTATATAAATCTCATAAGCTTATAGCAAGTTAGTTGTAATCATATTTTTTTATTTTTTGTAGTGAGTAAATATACAGCGAGCTCCTTGCTCCTTCCTGTTTAAACGAAAAAGCGTCTTTAGGCAGAGGAAATTTGAGAAGAATCTTATTTTGAAAACTGTGTCAGTCGGAAGTTGAACTGCTTGTACATCCACCTCACAGCAGGTGCTTCCAACAGAGAGGTAATTACAACCTTAGAGGTGTGGACCTCGGAAGGCAGCGATGAGGTTTATTACGAGATAATTCTGGCTTTTGTCGTGGACTAACGCACAACTGTGGGAGATACTCTGTTCTGGGATCAAACATATTGTGTCAAAATAAGTTCAGGAAGGACATGAGAGGAGAAACGGCTCTGGTAAGTTTATATATATATATATATATATATATATATATATATATATATATATATATATATATATATATATATATATATATATATATATATATATATATGAAATACTTATTGTAAAAGAGAAAAAACAGTCCATGTTGCTAGTAAGCTCATTCATATTTGTGAAAAGTTTAGTTTCTTAGGAAAAAGGGAAAACTAAAGTTTCATTTGTAATTGTTGTGCTTTTTTGTTTTATTTTTGTACAAAAGAAAAACTAAGTCAAAATGGAAAATGGCGTTGAAGTGGTTGAACCTGGAGGAGCAGCAGCACTACCTTCACTAGGGAGGCGACCTGTGAGTCTTTTGAATTGGTTTTCTGCTGTAAATATGTTTTTATGTGTTAAACATTAGTTGGCTCCACGGTTTTCTAAAATATTCTATTTTACCTGTATCATATTTGACAAAATATGACACATTAATTTTCAGATGGACAATGCAAATTTTGTTTTGGTTCTTTTCTTTGCACTGGTATCGTTGTCCGTGTCATTTCTCCTGACAAACAAACTGTACTGCCAAACCCAGACTGCCATGACAACCTTGTGAATTCCTCCTGCATTGTTTCCTCTTGTGATCTCTGACATCAGCAATGAAAGCAAGGTCTTCTGTAAAAACAGCAGGTGTACTGAATATTAAAGTTTCAGAATTTACAACGTTATGACTGTTCATATGAACAGATGTGGGGCTGTTGTAAATGCATATTTTAATATTCGAGTAATCTGTTGATTATTCTTACCAATAATCGAGTAATCGGATTAAAAAAAAAACAGATAAAATAAAACATTGGTAAATCTAACATAACAGCAGTTTTACTATCGCATCAGCCCAGTTTTTCATTTTTGAGCTTCCCTGACCATGACTTTAACCTGTCGCAATAATGCTCACTTTCTAAGTTAACCTGAAGAAAAGTTACATAAAAATGTAAAATTATATTCAATTTAATAATAAAAAGACAGGCTCACAAATACATTTATAAAAAAAATTCTGTACTCCAGCTTTTGGTTTGTGTATTCATCTTCAGTCAGTTTAATAGATGAACTCTGACCTTGCCCTGACATTTATAGCTTTTGTGTTCATGTTAGCGACGGGATTTGACACCTTTGTTTGTCACACACAGAAACTCATCCTCCAGCTATGCGCCGTCACAAAGCACTCTGCCACACATTTGTTCAGATGATATGAAATACATTTTCCATTTCGTCCATGAAGTGACACTTATGTTAATCATCTAAAGCACAGCCGCCCGCCGTGTTCATATCCGCTCACCTGTACAGAGCTCTGAACCGCCACCAGGCAGCAGCTCCAGGAGGACAAAAGACTACCACACTCCAGGCATCGCGCCAGTCATTTTAAAGATGCTCATTGGTCCCCCGAAAAACGACAAAGATCCTCGCTGGACGTTATGCTGCTAACAGTTAGCTTTCGTCATCAACTCAGGCGGAAATGAAAGCGCTGCGCAATGCAAGTAAAACCTGGCTGGACCAGGTGTAATAAGTAATAAAATATAACTTAACAAAGCTTCGAGGCAAATAAATTTTCCTTAAGGAATTTTAATGATCCAGGTGCTCGAATCACTCGAGGAATCGTTTCAGCCCTAAACAAATGTCTCATTTATCTGAATAGAACAGAATTTACTAACTCAGCATTGCAGAAATATCACCAGTCAATTCACTGTGAACTTTAGTTGATTTATGCCTATAAATATGCTAAAGATGACAACAGCAATTCAGTTTGAGATGCTTGACTGCAGTCTTCTGTTTACAAAAGTTTGGTTGTCGCGACAGAATGGTGACCTGTCCAGGGTGACCCCGCCTCTCGCCCAGAACATTAGCTGGAGATAGACACCAGCAGCCCTCCCGACCCCACTAGGGATAAGGGCGTACAGAAAGTAGATGTATGGATGGGTATTTGCATATCACAGTTTCAGTTCTGCAGTCTAGTTTTTCAGGTTCTTGTTGAAGCATTGTTTCCGTTCTGTTTTAGAACGTGCCAAAGCACAAGCCGGTCGAACTACGTTTAGAAATGAACATTTATACACCTGGTGACTCTCCTGAAAAATCTGTCATGAGCAAAAGTTTAAATTAGTCATTTAAAAATCCTTCAATAAGAGTTACTATTTTTTTAATATACTTTTACTCCTCTTCATTGTTTGTAGGTGGGAAAACTTGAAAAAAACTGTCAGTGTATCAAATACTTATTTTTATGTCTTTGTTGAGATTTATGTTTGCAAGTTGAATCCTAAACAATTCGTACGCCTTTGCCATAGTTTGAGATGTCTGATTAAATCACAAAGGAAGCTAAATGTATGCATTATCAGTGAAGCAATGGTTTGTCTCTGCAGAGTGTTGCGACTCTACAAAATATGCTGAAAATGGCTTCTCGTGACTCTCCTCGCTACAATGTAAGTGGTTGCACAAATGTACAGCTAAAATTGGAATTACTTACAAATGGACTGAGGTACATGCAAACTTTGTTGACTTTTTTTTCTAAGAGTAGAAACTTAAAAACTGAAAAAAAAACATTTAAGCTTCTTTATATTTAAACATCAATTAGCAGCAAAGTTCTCTCTTTTTTTTAATTATGAGCCAGGAAGATAAACGTCTCCAGGGAGATCAGAATTACGTAGGAAATGGTAGACATGTTAGTCTTGCATGGTGTGTTTGTGTAAAGAAAGTGTGAAAACCTGAGAACTGCGTTTTAAAATTTTTAGGTCAAGGGTTAAATGTCATTATGAGTTACAAAACTTTCACAAGGAGTTAAGTTTTAAAATGACCTGAGTGGTTTGACCTACTTGTCTTGAGTTTTGGAAAGCAACATTTGAATGCATCTTTTGGAACAGTTTTCTTTGGACAAACCAGGCTGAAGTGTTGATGTTTGGCTATAAAGCACAGAAACTGGAGTGGTGGTGAAGAGCTGATGATTTGGGCTTGGTTTGTACGGTAAGAGGAGGTGGAATAGAAATGTTTTTTTCTTTCTTTAAAGTAGACGAGGTGGTGCGCTGAAACAGTTACAGCTCACATCTGAAGTGAAGTGAAATGCCTTCATTTAAAGAAAAATCCTCATTTAAGGGCCCAGAAATAAACTTTTTTTTTTTGGTGGTGTTAAACTAAAATGTCTTTTTCTTCCTGAGCTGTACAGGTTCTTAAATGCTGTTAGGAACTCAGTTTGTCTAACTTAGAACAAAAGTATGCAAAACAAAGAAAACTGCAATATTATTATAAAAAGTACTTAAAACTGAATGAATCCTCCAACTAGATGGTAAAACACAAGTGGTCAGATGGTGGAATTTGGAGACGGTTACTTATTATTCAAAATGTCGACCGACGTCATGTGTTATGAAGCAATCGTTGGATTGTTGTTGTTTTTTTAATAGGCTATAAGTGGTAAGACAGATTCCACTTTAACTGGATTCATAACTTTCTTCCTGTTACTTAAGACAACTTTGTGGAAGTGTTGAATTCACATGTCTGAAATTAAAATATTAATAAAAAACTGTAATGTGGCCTTAAACATGCCAATCACAGGTCTGAAATTTGTTATTAACTAGCTGCTAATACACACTTGCTAGTTAGTTGGCTAATTTTGTTATTCATCTACCCTCAGTTAATGCAAATGTGTCACCGTGTGTTAGCTTTTTTTTCTTTTTTTTCTACAGTGGCTCACTTTTGTTGCCATCCCTTACGAGCTAGCTACCAGCTAACCCAATCATTCTCTTACTCATAGCTTTTTTTTTTCCTGACTTGAATTTCTTAAATTTGACTTTCTGAAACCTACCCTGATATCTTTACTGTCTGGGTGTTATTTTCTTTGACTACCAGGATGTCGATAAATCAGAAGCTATTATGGAAATTTTTAGAGTAGTTCAAGCAGGAAGAAGTTTTAAAATCAGGTGCTACATTCCACATTTTCATCATGCGAGAAAAGCACCATGCATGACTTTCTGTTCTTCCCACTGCTTGTTCTGCTTGTTGACATCTGTGACTTTTGCTCCACAGAGAGGTGAGTGGTCAGATATGGACAACCAGCACTTTGAACAGGTGAGAGAAAAAAAAAAAGTTGATCCCTGGATGTGCTTATCTTTGATGATGTTGCAGTTTAAGCCAGTGTTTCCCAACTCTGGTCCTCTAGGTACACTGTCCTACATGTTTTAGAGGTTTCCCTGCTTCAATGTGCCTGACTCAACTGATTGCAGTTCAACAAACACCTGTTAAGTTTGTTGAACTGCAATCATCAATCGAAATCAGCTGGACTAAAGCGAGGAAATACCTAAAACATGCAGGGCAGTGTTTCCAGGCTGGGAAACACTGGTGTAAGCGTTTTAAGTGGCTGTTTTAGATCAGTATAACGGCTCATATGGAACTGGTCCATTTGTGGTCCTGTTTTGTTTCGCAATCTACGTAGAAGGTTTTTGTCTTCAAAGGTGTATTTCTGTCACATTGCTGTCTGACTAGAAAGTTCTGTTCAGTAATATCATTCTTGTTGTGATTAGATGCAAAATAACTAGACACTTAAATCAACATGGCATTGGTTCCTGTTGTGGTTTAAATTGATGTTTCATGATGCAAAAGCAGGACTCAATAGTTTTTGTCAATTTTCAGAATGGAGTCCAAGAAGACTTTCCGTCAAGCTTTCAGGTTTGTTTTTGAATAACTGTTGATCGTAGCTGTGCAGCTTCAACTAGATTTTATTTATTCATTTAATATTGAATTCTTGTTACTTCAAATAGAACGAAGACTCTGCAGATTTGATCAAAGCAAACCCTTTTTATGCATATTCCAAGGTATGTATGTTACAGATCTCTGCCTATTGACAACATTGACTTTTACTGAACACATCCCAAATGTAGTTGTGTTCTGCTGCTAGGACTCGACCAGCAACTCTAATGGAACAGAGGCTTCAATACAAGCAGATGATCCCAACTCTGTACCCACTACGAAATTCCTAAGCTTACCTCAGGAACTTGGTTATGGAATTAAGGCCAAGGAAAACAATGCAAAGCTGTCCGAACATCTTAATGTGCCTCAGCGGTATGACCCTAAAGATGAGCTCTTCGGACCATCCTCTCTGAGGCTCAACGCCACCGCCAATGGGGATTTTCAGGAATTGGTTCAAACACAAAGGTTCTCTGAACACAGACAGAGAAATGGCTCAGAAATTGTCACAAATGATGTGGATGCTTTGTTTGGCTTATCTAACAAAGCTGTGGTACCAAACCCATTTTATAAAACTTTAGCCTCAGAAGCAGCAGATTTGTTTTCAAGGAATAATGAGGAACTCTTCCAAGCGAACGGCACCCAAGACCAGACCCCCAGCGCCAGCAATGACAATTCTTTAAAGAAAGGATTTGACATATTTTCATCACCTACAAATCCTGTGGATCCATTTCCAAGTCCGCTCCCAAGGAATTTATTCAATGCCCCCGGTTTGGATGATCCTTTTGGTCCAACTCCCTCCAAGACAATTTCCTCTACACCTTTAACCAATCGCCCATCTGAGTTGAAGTTAAACACACCGGTGTCAACAGGTTTAGTTAAGAAAACTCCACCAAAAGTTCCACGAAAACCTTCAAGCAAACCAAAAGATCTTTTGACGATGCCTCAGGGAAGCAAAGAGGAATTCCTTGAGCCAACCTTCTTCAGCCAGGCCACCAGTCTGTCCTCCTCGCCCAGCATTTCTCCAGCTGATTTGACTCATGTATGTAACTCTTATTTCAAACGGCAACACTAAACACTTTAAGGCTTCTATAAAGTCCTATCGTACGTCGTGCAGGTGCAAACTTTCAAACGGCCACCAAGACCCGTTCCTCGAACTCGACGCCCCAAAGCAGAGAAGCCACCAACACCAGAGCGACCTCCACCTCCAGCACACGCTGTAAGCCTCAAAAACACAGATGATTTTCTGAACTTGGGATTGTATAAACTCCTTCTCTCCCCTTAACTCTTAGACTAAATTGGAACCAGAAGTACCTGAAGCACACGTTGCTGAGCCAGAACTACCAAAACCTCTGCCTAAACCAGTCCCTCCTTACAAACCAAAGAAAACGGTATGATTGTGATTTGTAATGGGGTGTTCAAATGGGCTATCTATTGTTACAGAAATAGAATCCATATTTTCAGTTTTTATATAGAGAAAGAATTGCAAAACCAAAATTCAAGAGAAAACCAGCGATCTACGTCTCTGCATATAATTTATGACTAATGTCTGCCTAACTCTGGGACTGTTTTTTTTTTGTTCTCACGGTGAATGTAGTTTTTACTGTATATTGTAACTTCTATCACAAACCAATGGCAGATTTGTGAATCATGTTTTGGCATCAGAAATGTTGCCATGCAAAGTGGTTTTCTGCTTCTCATTGATATTTAATTTGAATGCTCATCTCATTGCTTTTTTACAGCAAATAAAAAATTGCTCAACATGGATGTTTTATGTATTTGTTTTACAGGAGAGCAAACCATTGGAACCTGAGAGCTTTGCTGTGTTTGAGGACGTCCTCCTTATTGGACAGGCGAGTTTCACCTAGAAAAATGTTCCCGACTGCAAAGCTGAAATTTTCACTTTGTTAAATGTTGTACAGATTTTGGTCAGAATCAAAGATATGATGCTTCTTTTCAATTGATTGTAATGCAATGAAAGCCTCTTTTGACAATTAAAGAAGCATCATAACTTTTGAGACGTGATCAGTTTCTGGTCGTTTGAGCCGGTCTTTGACATCTCTACGACGTAGGTCGCGAAATTTACCACTACACTGTATGAATGTGACCACAAGCATCCTACCAGAAAATAATCTGCTGCCAATGAAAAAATAAATCACTTAACCAGAAATATGAGCTGATCTGTTTTATGAAGTTGAAGCAAAATGTAAAAAAAAATTTTCCCTCTAAAAATCAGGAACACTGTGTGGAGGATTGGCCTGAGGACAGTCCTGAGCTGGATCCAGACTTTAAGCCGGTAAGAAAACAAATCTTAAATGCTCTTCTTTATTTTTCTTTTACAACAGATTCAAATTTAATTCCTTGAAACTTAGAATTTTAATGTTGTATTTCTGTCTGACTTCTCAAAGTCTGGAACGTTTAAGCTACGAAGAGAGTCTATGAAGGTCAGTCAGTTCAGTTTCCTCTTAAACTTTGCTGATTTTTAAGTCATAGAAAATCAGCAGAAGACTTCTCCCTGTTTTTAGGCCAAGATGGAGTCAGATGGAGGAAGCAGTGAAGACCCTGACGGTACCTTTGGTTACGTTAAGGTAGAACCTTTTCTCCTTCCTGCATGTTCTCCTTCTCTGGCTGCAGCTTCAGCTAAACTCTGAACATTTTCCAGAAAAAGGACAGGAAACTGCGAATGTCGTTGCTGTCCAGAAGAGGCTCAAAGGTAAATCTGATCTAATAAAGGAATATTTTCTTGTTTTATTAAAATGATGACAACTTTGACAATGTAGGACAAGTATTCAGATGATGCCACAGGGGGAAAGAGCAACACGCTGCCCAGTCGACGAAAAACCCCCAAGGTAGAGATCATCACATGTTGTCAAACCAGCAGTTGTTTTATGCTAGCAGATCTTTATGCAGGTTATTTGGCTTCTGTTTTGCAGGACTTTGGTTCCAGTGACCATATTTCTACAGGAGATGATGAAGATCATTATAGTTTGGACTATAAAGTATGTTCTATTTTCCAACAGTATAAAGTCTGCTTATAAACATGGTTGATGAATTTATTTTATGATATACTTAATGCCTCTAGAAAAAATCTTCAAAGACCAAAGTCAATCACCTGTTTCGGAGAGCCTCCCTTGGTTCTTCTCCGTACGACGACAAGAACATGAACGGGCATTCACCTTTAAAGGTAGCTTCAAGGAGATTTTACATCTTATAGAAGATTTAACTCCAGCTTTCCTTAAAATTCTTCTTTAAAAGCAAAGTGATGTCGAATGTATCAGGGAGTTCTTAAACCCTCTCCAACAGGACGGTGACAATAAAAAAAGCAGCAAGAGGAAAAACAGCATTGTACGCCGACAGTCGGCGGTAAGCAGCCTCCATTCTTCAAGTTAAATGTGGAAAAGCAGCAGGTCGGGTTTTCAACCCAATATTAGTCTATTACTGCTTAAACTTGAATTAATTCTCAGGACTCGGTGTTGGACAAAGAAGATTATGAAAACGGGAAGAAAGGTGGCCATCAGCAGGTTGTTCAATTTTTTATTTTTTTCCCTCGATACTCAGAGAAACATTTCTGTTCACATGAAAACAGAACCTGCTGTGCCTTTTATTCTAAACCTTATTTGTTTTCCTCCAGAGGAGGAATAGCAAGGTGAAAATCAAGTTTGTGCCACAAAGAGGATTTGCTATTGCATTAGAGAAGGTAGAAAACATCTGCTCCACCCTGATACCCTGATTGAATCACTTCTCAAATTAAAACAAAACGCAAAAATCCCACCTCATTTCAACTCCTTTGTTTTCTACAGCCACACAATGAACCAAAAGGAGCTCATGGTTATACGCCTCGCAAGGGCTCAAAGGTATAACAGCGACTTGTGGCTGGTTAACTGTTTGTGAATGCCATGTTTTGTGGAATGAGGATGTCTGAACGGTGCCACATGTTTGGGATGTTTTCACCCTCACAGGACAAATCTGTTGACGATTTTGGCGTGCATGAATACACACCTCGTGACAAGCTTCAGGTAGTGATCTGCTTCGGTTTCAACAACAACAACCTGCACAAACTGTGTCTGATATGACTAATTACATGTCAGACACAGTTCGTACTGTAGATAGCATTATTCTGCGTAGTATTTTATTCTAATCTCTCTACGCTATCCGTTTCATTTTTGTTCAGGATGATGACTTTGAAGACCTCGAGGAGATGAAAGCCCTCAGCCTTCACTCAGCTAAGGTAATACATTTTTATCAACTAAATAATATTCAGTGTTTTCACTGATAGACTACATAATCAAACTTTTAATGTGCCAATCAGGCTGCCATCATGGCTGGCGAACAGCAGAAGTCTCGTCGTTACTCACCAAGTCTGCAGGGGGATTACGATGCTGAATTGAGCAAAGAACGCAAACATGTAACTTCCTGCCTTTTTTAAAATGAAACTGCATAAAACTGATCACAATAAGCTGTTCTTTTTTTCTTTTTCTTTTTTAAGTCTTTGGGACATACAACTCAATGCACATTGATGATTATTATAGCTTTAACTGAAATGCTTATCTTTGTAGTAGTTATCAGTATTAGTACAAAACAAAATCGTCGTCTTGTTTCTGGCAGAAAAAGTCCAAACATAGGATTCATCTGTCACACAAATCGAAGGCATCATACGGCCTGAAAGAGGTAGGCGGAGTCAACTCCCTTTAAGAGTTTAACACGCAAATCTACTGCATTATTTCTTCATGTGAATTTATTACTGCTGTTTATTGTCAGACGGGCTCCACTGATGATGAATTAACAGAAAGAGACATGAAGTCTCACAAAGAGGAGTACGATGATGATCCAGATGAAACCGAAATCCTCAAACAGGTATTCTTTGTTCTCTATTTAGACACCAGTGTTTTTTTTTTTTTATTTGTATGAGAAAACAGCTTTTACACTATAATTATTTTTTTTCCAATAGAAAAAGCCATTTAAGTTTAAAGTTGCCAAAAAACACAAGCACAAGGTAAGTCTATTTGGTCCACTCTAACCACACCAGAGGAATCTTTACTCATTGATTGACGTGTGCAACTTTCTCCGACTGAATCTTTTCTCATCAGAGCAAAAAGGCCAAGAACCAATCAGAAGGCCCATCTGATGAGCACCTCTCTGAAGCTGCTAAGGTAAGTTAGATACGGCCATGTCTCTGTGTCTGAAATTATTTCATAATCCCTCTATTTCCTATTTATTGGTTGGTTTTTAAAAGCCAGTTGGTTGCGTTTAGTTTCAAGTAAATACTATGCTTTTCACATTTTAGTTTAGTTGAAATAAAATGTAGTAAAGCATATATCATTTCCCCTCCACATAACTATTAAGGTTTGCTTTGGGTTGGTCTGCAACCACTTTGCAACGTTTTGCCATTACGCCAACTAAAGACATTTAGAGCTACAAACAACATTTTTAATATCTACTATAGGAATTTTGTGGTCTATTTATTTAATTTAAACGCAATTTTATTTCTGTTTTTAGGGCTTAAATCAAAGAAAAATATAAAACCTTTACTAAAAAAGGATCAGGACATTTTCTTCTATATGAGATGTTGTTTCTAAAGAATTATGTAAACAGGAAGAAAAAGAACTTAGTTTCCAATGACATAATGAGAAGCATATATCATTGATACTCTGAAGTTTAATGCAGGATTTATTCCATGCAAAAACAGCTAAAATCTATTTTAAATTTCTACATTTAAACAAAGTAAATACAAAAATACCTACAAATTTCTTATTTGTAACATCTACTATTAAATAAATATATATTTTGTTTTAAAAATGGCTAAAATGTCTATTTTTTATATTTACATTAAAAGAAATAAAATGGCTAAAAACTACATTTTAAAAAGTTGTTGCTTCTGCACTATTTTCAGTCAATTCAAGAGCCTATGTGGAAGCTCCAGTTCAGACTCCTGTTATACAGCATTGAAATCTATTGTGGAAAATGCCTGTATGGTGGAAAGTCCCAGTGCTACTGCAGCACTGTACTCTTATCTTTACTTACAAACTCCATATTTAGCATTCACTGTCATGTGATAGTTGCACATAAATGGTTGAGATAATCTTCACCTGCTAATTATCAGATTTTAAACATTCTACCTACTTTGAACGATTTACTTTGATTGGGGTGCATTTAAAGTGAAAGCTACCAGAAATTGGGGAAAAAGTGAAAACATTACAGTGGTTACACGAGCAAGCGTTAGCCACAATGCAGGTTTGATTGGTTAAGCCCTCATGTTAGCAAACTACAGTCTGAAATCATCTCATGCTGTTGTTTTAGTCTGTTTGATTTCTTTTCTCAATTGGACCTTGACACATCCTTGTAGCGCGTTAGCAGACTGGTTCAGCGGCATACTGTCTTCTCTGACACGCCCACTGCTGTGTAGAGTGCTCCCTTAAATTACTTTAAATGGTAACGCATGCTGCAAACACTTGCTGGTTAACTCATCTTCTTCCCTCACTCAGGCAGCATGGCAGGCTGCTCAGATGGATGAACAAGCTGCAGCCGGTGAAGAGGAGGATGTGGAGGAATATGGGGTCAGTTTCTTTGGTTCTGCAAAAGTTCTGGATCCTATTATTTACGGACTCTGTTTTTATAGGAACAGAATTATTTTATGCAAAGTTACACATAGGCTTGATAAAAAACTTTGCTGGACGATCAATTGCCCCAGACGTTGTTGCAATAAACAATGATATTGTTGTTTTGAGGCAATTTTCAAGATGTCAGTCATGGTACAATAATGAAACAACACATCCTCATAGATCGCTAAACTTTAAATTCTAATGAACATTCAACACTGGATCCCTAACGCATGTTAGATCTCCAAAATATATAAACGAAATGAAGTCTTGGTAAACAAAATTGTCCTTCCAAAAGAGAGCCATTTGAAACAAAACCACCAGACAGAAAACTTTGATCATCCAGTTTTTGGTAGAAACAGAGAGAAAAATGATAAATCATTGGAAATGCATTCATTTTAATTTGGGATTGATTTATTGCAACAAGCCTAGTTGTGTGACAAACTATTTTCCCATGACAGGTTTCTCCTGTTTTTAGGAGATGAAGATAACCTGTGTAAATACATCAAGCATTTGATTTAATTTAGTGAAAAAGAATTTAAAAAATATATCCAAGCTGACCTGTGTCTGTGTGATAAACCAGCCCCCACTTAGGTCAATTCTAAATTGGCTGTATTAGCCAAATTTTTTGCAAAATGTTCCTAATTTTCAAAAGCAACATGCCATATTCTACATAAAATAATACAAAAACAGTCAAGTCTCCTGTTTTGGCCAGGAAACAACCATATTTTACGCTGTGTCCCGGCATACTCCCGTCTAAGTATTTTTTCTGTAAATTTCACATATCAGATTAAAAATGTCAGACAGAAGAAATTTATACTCTCCTCTGAAGAAAGGTCAGATATATGTTTGACTACTTTTCGTATCTTTTATTTTTAGGACACGGACAGTTTATTGGAGTGGTGGTACACGGTAGAAAGTAAGTCAACAAACCGATTTAAAACCAAGTGAACTGATGAGTGGCTCTGGATTTGTATTCACTCGCTTGTGCTTTTCAGAATGGGATGAACTGCCATCGGATGAAGAGGATGCAGCCGCCAAAGAGGATGAGTCAAAGTGCGATCATTTGTTTTTACCAGCAGTAATTCTAGGTCAACTCACTGGCTATTATGGGATACCATGCAATACGTTTTGATTTTATACTTGTATGGTATCAGTTGACAACAGCCGCGATTTATCAAACACACATACACATTCTAGCTATCGATGCAGTAAAGTTCTGTTTATTATTCAAATTCAATAATGAGCAACTGGGTAAACGGATCATTTTAGAAAGATATTATAAGTTTGAGTGGAGGACTTAATGATGCTGTTCACAAAGTACCCAAAGCTCAGCACTCTATGAAGTAGAACTAGAATCATCTCTTTCTGCAGTGACACAAGTCACTGTAGATCAGGTGTGTCAAACTCATTTTCGTTTTGGGCCAAATCAATATCATGAAAGCTCTCAAAGGGCCGGTTGTGCTAGAACATGTTGATGAAACCTGTTCACAAACTGTTAATATGTCAATAAATTCTTAAAATTACATAATATTTGAACATCTTTTTAGTCCCTTCAGGAACTAATAATGAATGAGACTTTTTATTTACTCGCTGTATAAATCATGGACTATAATCATACATCAACTAAATTCTCAAGAAACTGGAGGGATTGATTGATATAAATTGGCAGTAAACAGATAAAAACTGCATTGATATGATTGATAATATAATATTTAATCACACTTAGTGTGTAGTCTAGTCTGTGGAGGGCCACATAAAAAGCTACGGCGGGCTGGATTTGGCCCCCGGGCCTTGAGTTTGACACATGTGCTGTAGATGCAGACATTAGAACAAGCATGATCTTTACCAAAATAGCTTTGTTTTATTGAGCAAATTACTAAGAACCAGCTCTTCTAAAATCTTGCTTTGATTGCAGGTCATTCGCCATCTTGGCAGAGAAGGTCGAACGCGGCCTGCGTCTCTTCAACAAGGTGTTCATGGAGCAAGCTGAGGTCCTGTGGGAGTCCATCATCTCGCTCCACGCTCTCGCCGACGACATCAACGACTTCCATCACAAAGCCAAGATCGCTGGGATCAGCGGGGGCACCACCACCGCGGTGGGCACTGTGGCGGCCATCACTGGCCTGGCCTTGGCACCCGTGACTTTCGGAGCGTCCCTAGTAGTTGCGGCCGTGGGCGTGGGCGTGGCTACGGCCGGAGGGATCACCTCCGCTTCTGCAGCCATCTCTGATAACGTCAACAACAAGAACGACCGCAAAAAGGTAATGCAGGTTTTTGATGCAGGAGGACATGATGGAAGAGGCTTGATCACTTTGTTACTTTTTCTTCTGTGTGAAATCACTAGCTCAACATTCTCTGTCCTCAATTAGATCGAGGGTGTGCTGCAGGAGTACGAAGAGCGAATGCTGGAGATCTCGAACATCCTTAACTTTGTCAATCAGGGCTTGTGCAGGCTGCGTGGTCACCCTTTCCTCAGGTCCGGCACACAGCACTATTCCCAGGACTGGGAAGTCCGTAAGGCGGTCCAGATGATCAGCATTGTGGATTCGCCTATAATGCGAGCGACAGAGATAACCGACGACGCTGTGGGCTCCCTGCAAGGACTCTTCAAAGGTATGGACAAGTACTTCATAAACGAAACCAGAGAGCTGAAGAAAGGCTGTAAGAAGGAGATTGTGGCCGTAATAAGACAAGTGGCAAACGTGCTGAATGACTGCATCGTGGAGCTGAATACCATCAGAGAGAATCTGCAAGACGCTACTGGACAGATGTGAACAACCTTCGCTGAGCATGGCTCACCGCTGACATCTCCTGGCTGGTACCGAGAACTGCTCTTCCATATGACATTCTTGAAAAATATTCCACCTCTGTGAAACTCATGAAGATATTTTTGGCATTGTGGTTGAGAAATTACTTATTAAACTTTTTAAACTGCAGATTAATTTTGTACTTGAATAGTAAAACACAGATCAGTTTCTATATTCATTCACCCTTATGTTCAGCTTGAGCAGCATCAAAGTTTTTCCCTGTGTAAATGTGACAGTAGGTTTACTTTGTTAGAATTGAGTCAGTTTGGAAGTAGTTGATTTGCTACACATTGAAATAGTTTACCAGGGACTTAAAAATAATATGAAAAGATAAAGTTTAAATATGTTTAACAGTTAATTTAGTGATAATTGTCAGATTTTGGTAGAATGTTCTGCAGGTTGAAGACCCTTCTACTGTAAATGAGACTGTTTATCATTTAAGTTGTAAAAAAGAATCTTGCTTTCATAATCAGGTCTCTATAAATACATTTATTTTTTATAACTTAAATTTGTTGGAAATATAGCTTATAATTTTCAAGAGGGAGTTAGTTTGGTTTATTCAAAAGCTTCAACACATTTTAATGCTTTTTATTTTTTCTAAAAGCTGTCTTGAATGAATGCAAAGCATGTTGCATGACAAACTGAAGTTTTTCTGCTTGATTGTAGGTGCATTGTCATTTTTATTGACCATATTAAATCATATAGCTGCTATTTTACCCCTAGCCACATTTAATAGGCATTTTTAACATTACAACTTATCCAGCTTTGATAGGTCACTGTCTTTGCAATGCTGTTGTTCTTTTATTTATATTTTAACTTGAAATGAATGTAACTGTATAGGTTTTACATTGTTCTATTTTACTATATTCAATATGTACTGGTTAACCCAAGAATAAAATGTAAAATGACCTATTGACACATTTTCACCTGGAGGCAAAGTATGTTTTTTTTTTATTATTATTCATTTGAGAAATATTCATCTCCAACTGAACATAAGATGTAGCTTATAGTTTGTTCAAAATAGCAGTATAACATTATGTGCAAAAGTGTAAACTTGATAGAATTTCCAAAAACTCACACTAACATTACTGCCAGAACATGTTCCAGTTTCAATGTTTCAACACCATTTTTAATACAGGTGTGCAATTCTGAAATGAAAAATTAAAGGGTCAAAACTCTGAAAATTGAAATTCTGAGATGTGTGCATGACTTCAAACTCCTTTAAAACCCAGAGGAACATTTTGAAATGCCTTTCAATCTGCATGCAATGTTGAGAATAATTCTACATTTTTCTTCTATCTCTTTTAGCTAGTTGCTTAGGAAACACCCTCAAAGCTAGGGTTAAAGGATACGACACTCTAGAGCACATGTGTCAAACTCAAGGCCCGGGGGCCAAATCCGGCCCGCCGTAGCTTTTTATGTGGCCCTCCACAGACTAGACTACACGATTGTAACATAACCACTATGTTTTGTTTTTCTCAGCAAATATAATAAATGTTAAAAAGGCCAAGCTGTCTAGTGGAACAGTTGTGGATTTCATTATAAATAAAAACATAAGAAAAAATGTCGAAGTTCCACTTATAAAAAAAACTGATGTTGGGTAAATCATGTTTGGGGCCAGGTGTGTGGGAATTAGAGATAAAAAGGGGGCGTGTGCGCCGGAAGGCGCGGCGCAATCTGTAAGAAAGACGCTCGTGTCGATCTGTGCAGCGGGAGTTTTGGCCTTATCCTTAGTGTCTGTTTAATCCAAAGAAAAGTAACAAAAAGATAAAACATCGATTAGGTTCGATTAAGGTTCGTCCCAGCGCCACAGATCGGGCCCGGAAGCCTGGACCGGAGGGTGCACCGAGGGAACGCCGCCCGGTGCAGAAGGACGACGACAGTCCATGGAGGAAACCACCGGGGGGGGAAAGGGACGCTCCCGGTGAGATCTGGACTTTATTTTTCTTTTGGGGGGTTTTTTGGGTGGTACCACTCTTCTTTTTTCTCATCTTTTTTGGGGTTCTTTTTTGACGTTTTGGATTTTTCTTCGGGAAGAAGACGGGGATTAATACGGAGCGACGCTTCCAGGTCGTGGTTAGATTTGGATGTATGGGACTCCTTTATGGACAAAAATATAAAAAAGGAACAGGACTTTTGGGATTTTCTTTTTTTTTTTAAGTGTGGTTTGTGAATCGGCCTGACAAGGCAAATCAAACTCTTGATATTTTGGGGGGTTTTGATGTTGATTTAGGTTGATTGACTATTCAAATTTTGGGTTTCTGAATAAATTATTTCTGGTGCAAACCTATTAATTTCATACTGAGTGGGTGAACATTTGTTTTTTATCAAACTGATTCTGGTAACACTTTTAACCTTTACCTGGAACAATATCCCCTTGTGTGTTTCTTGTGAGTTCTGCTTTAATCAAGCCGAATATTACAAAATGGTGGCCAGTATGGGGACAGGATAATATAATTTTAGGTTTGGTGTTACATTAAGGGATACAGATAAAGATAATCCTGTGGTAGACAATTTCATTTGCTTGTTGTTTGGGAGTTTTTCTTTTCAAAAATGGATAACATAATTTCTGATACAACATGATGAGGAAAGAGACCCTGCTCAGGATGAAGAAGAAACAGAAGCAGGTCGTGTAGATCAGGAAGAGGAAGGTAGCTACAGAGAGGGGGACGCCTGGGTTACAAGGAGGAATCCTGTAGGTGAAATAACTTCTCTGCTTAGCTCCCTTTATGTGTCAGATAATGAAGTTGAAGAAAATGAGGAGGTTGAGGAAGAATATCTCCCTGCGTCAGAGGTTGATGATGTTAGGAATGATTTAACTAACATGGGAGATAGGCTTTCTTCACTGGAACAAGATTTCCGGGCCTCTATAGACAGTGCCTTGAATAGAGAGCAAAACATTAGATTGTACATTGATAGGAATGTTGAGGCCATGGAACAACACATGAACGCAGCCTTTAAGGAATTTGAAACTAAGGTAGTGGACTGTTTGCTGCGACGAGATGAGAAGTGGAGGGCTGAGATAGAGAAGTTGAAGCGCGCTAGATTCTCTACAGCTATCCTTTCCTCAGATAGGGTCAGACCAAGTCTACATGTGCCGTCTGAACATCTTTATTCCACCATGAGGCCCACTTTCCCTACACCTTCATCTCCACCTTTTGCCCTACCGCCCACAAGAAGTACCACAAGATAGTTTTGGTTTCTCAGACCCTCAAAGGGCTGTTCACATCGGTCCAGGGATGGGTTCAGTCCGGCCCTCAACAATCTGTGGATTGGAAAACATTCCAGCATTGACCTCCCACCTGACCATTCCCTCGGCAAGCAGAACACCTGTGATGTATTCTAAACCCCCTGTGCACCTGGAGTTCCCGACATTTGAGGGTGCAGGAGAAGTTTCTGATGTCTTAAATTTTATCGATCAGTGTGAAACCTTTCTATCAGTAAGACCTCTGACTGATTCTGAATTATTGGGAGCTCTAACAGCCATCTTAAAAGGCTCTGCTCGGAGTTGGTGGAGTGTGGCAAAAAACAAAATACACAACTGGCTTGAATTTAAAAATGCTTTTTGTGCTGCCTTTCTACCTCCAGATTATCTTTCGGAGGTGGAAGAGAAGTTGAGGGACATGGTCCAGTTGCCAGAGCAATGTCTGAGAGACTTTGCCTTTGAGTATCAAGCACTGTGTCTAAGATGGAAGCCAGACATCAGTGAAGCAGAGTTGGTGAGGAGGATTTTGAACAACTGTAATCCGAAGATAGCCGGCTGTCTGCGTGGTACAGTCACCTCCATGGATCAACTAATAAAGGTGGGATCCCAGGTTGAAAAAGACTGTGCTGGTGTTAAAGTCTACTGGGGGAAAGTGGATCAGCACAAAGCCAAAGGGAAAGCCCCAGCAAGAGGACAATCCAAGGTGAATCCCAGAAGACCTGCAGACTCTGTATCTGTGTTCAGCGAGGCCCTGTATCTTCCCTCCTTCATGTACCCGTAGAGGTGCGCGACAAGATGTATGATGCTGTACTGGATACAGCCTGCACCTCCCTGATGAGAAATAGTCAGTGGAAGAGAATTGCTCGAGAAGGTGAAGTTTTGAAACCAGCTGACAACCAGAGGTTTGCACTGGCCAATGGCAAAACCTATAGTGCTTTAGGAAAAACAACTGTCATTTATTGTTGGCATGGGATGATGTGGTCTTTAGAAACTTTTGTGGTGGAGGATAGTAACCTCACCTTTCCCATCATCCTTGGTCTCGATTTTTTAACCAAAACCTCTGCTATTATCAACCTAGGTGACCAGACCTATGGAGTAAAAGGACCAAAAGGTTACACCTTTTATCCTTTTTCAACTTCAGCAACTGCTGCATCTCCTATGAATGCTAGTATTTCTTCACTTAATCTGATCCTGGCTCTGCCCAAGGAAGAGGACAAAGTATCAAACATAGAGTCATTTCCCAGGGGGACACAACATCCACCCCAAGTCCAGAAGCTTTTGAATGCCTGGCCATCCGTGTGCTCTGATACATTGGGTAGAACATCTGTGGAAGACACAGAATAATGACCACTGATGAAATACCCATTCGATGCAGAGCTTACCGGGTGTCTCCTTTCAAGCGGCAAATAATAAAAGAACAGATTGACGCAATGCTTAAAGACGATATTATAGAACCATCACAGTCGTCATGGGGGTCTCCTGTTGTCCTTGTTCCCAAACCAGACAAATCTTTCCGATTTTGTGTGGACTATAGAGCTTTGAACGCCAAGACTCTCCAAGATGCTTATCCCATCATCCATGAGTTGTTGGAGTCCATGACTGGAGCAAACACTTTCAGTACTCTAGATTTGAAGTCTGGATACTGGCAGATGACAGTGGAGGAGGACAGCAAAGCAAAAACTGCTGTTATTACTCCATTTGGACTTTACCAATTTAAGTGCATGCCGTTTGGACTGAAAAATGCTGGAGCGTCTTTTCAGCGTTTAATGGAGAAGGTTTTAGGAGAGCTACGGGGAAAGATCTGCTGTGTGTACATTGATGATGTGATCGTTTTCTCAACCTCTCCTGAGCAACACCTCAAGGACCTGGATACAGTTTTTGCAAGGCTTCATCATGCAAATTTGTCCCTCAACCTTAAAAAATGCAACTTTTTCCAACAAGAACTCAGATTTCTGGGACACATTGTATCGTCAGAAGGGGTTCAAGTGGATCCAGAGAAAACCCATGCCATTACGGTTTATCCAACCCCTACTAACCAGAAAAGTCTTCAGAGATTTCTTGGAATGGTTGGATGGTACCACAAGTTCATATCACATTTGCAGAAATGGCTACACCGCTGTATCAACTGCTCAAAAAAGATGCAAGGTGGGAGTGGACAGTGGACTGCCAACATGCTTTCATGACGCTGAAGAAAGCTTTGGTGGAATCACCAATACTAGGACAGCCAGATTTTGAGTCACCATTTGAAATTCATACCGATGCCAGTGATGTTGGCCTGGGGGCTGTTCTGGTCCAACCAACCACTGGTGGAGACAAGGTTATTGCTTTTGCTTCCAGATCATTAAAGGGCGCAGAGCAAAACTACTCCACTTCAGAGAAAGAATGTTTGGCAGTGGTTTGGGCAGTAGAAAAGTGGAGACACTTTGTCGAAGGAACAAAGTTTACCATTTACACTGACCATGCTGCTTTAACCTGGGCATTCAATTGCCCCAAATCCAGCTCTAGATTAACACGCTGGGTGCTAAGGTTGCAGGATTTCAGTTTTGAAATACGATATAGAAAAGGAATGCACAATGTAGTGCCTGATGCGCTGTCCCGAGCGATGCCGGCTGACCCGAGTGGTTTAGCACATGTGGCTCTGAATTCTGCTACAGCCATGTTAGGGTTACCACTATCATTAGCAGAAGTCAATGAAGCTCAGGAAAAAGACTCA